CCGATACACTTAATTTCAACAGTCGCTCTATAACAACGCTATAATTCTCAAAGAACGTCTCACGTGCTCGTGCTCGACAATACTCAGTTCAATTACACACTCTCTGACTGCAGTTCAATCACTCACTGTCTCTCCGTCGCTTCGTGGCCGGTCTTATATATACAAGACTACACTATATCTAGAAAGATCACGAGATTTAAGGAAAAGACGTGAAAGTTCGAGAATGACGTGGCGCGATACTAGTCACGTGACCTCGCTGACGCAACAATATGTTGGCTTTTGATATCCCTCTTTCAAACATTCTGAGTACGGGCCTGATATGTACATAACTTTCTTCATTTCTGTTGAAACGTTGTTTATGCAATTAAGCCTATCATTGAACGTAGCCTGTAGCTGTATAAAACGTTACTGAAGAAATAAATGTATTCGTTATTGATAAGTAAACTTGATTTCTCATTATTTTATAATCAAAAAGAGTCTGTAAAACGACAGAATACTGTTTTAATATATTTTACTTTAATTGTTATATCTTTTCTTTTCACTTGTATTTTAATATATGTGGTATTGTTGTATTATGTAACGGAATCGAACTTTAGGCTATTCTGGCTTTATTTATTTATATACTTCAAGTGTTTAATACTTACCAAAACATAGGCTCTGCTCCTTTGAATTTCGAGTCCTTTCACAGCACATTTGTCAGTGCGAGGTTGGGGTAGTGTTAGAGGCTTTAATACACTTGAGTAAAGGCCTACTGCCTGAAACGTCGAGAAAATAAACATATGTATATTTAAGTGGTATTAGTGCCACACTGTGCTATTTATTTCTTGCCGAGAACGAGATAGATAATCACTGCATAAATCTAGATGAAAAATAGTTTTTATAAGTCTAATGTAGAAATTATCTGGCATATTTTAAGTAAGTTTTACATCTGCATAATTTCTAAACCAATTATATTGTGTGTTTTATTAAAATAATATACTGCTATATGCTGGCACATAATCTGTTTTCTATTTGCTTTATTGATATAAGATTTTTAACATTTTTAATGTTATTTTGCTTACTTGCTCTAATGCCCGCAACACGCGGACAAGAAAGCCGTTGAGATTGCCTTGTTTCAGTTTTCTTTAATAGATAACGTCTATTCTGCTCGAGGGGATGTTACAACAACATATATCATCCGTATTGAAAGGATTAGCACTGTAATGTTATTCGCTGGCCTGTATGAGAACAAAGGTCGAGGTGACTCTGTTAACTGAACAAATAAAGTGAGCTTTTCTGTTGAATTCGGGCATGCTTTCTTCATCCAGTTCTATTAAGGGACCGCTGATTAAAAATAGTACTTGAAAATGGCCATGTCTTAGTCTTACAGAGATCAATCCCGAGAGGGTGAAAGCTTAGGGACTAAACATTGCATAGAAGGAGAGAGACTCTTCGTGTGCGCATTTACATACGCTGTTATTTTTTTTATTTTTGTCAAATAATAAAGATTTTTTTCACTTTCACCAACTTTATCCAGTCTCGTTATTTTACGCAAAAAAGGAAGACTCGGTTAAATTATCTGATTCAGGATTACTTTCCTTATTTCTTGATCGAATCTGCTATTATTAGCGGGATTACATATCTAATACTTGTCGGGAAATCGGTGTTATCTGAAATATAGCATAACACGTCATATCCTACTCCTTTTTTTATTTATATTGTAAAACTAATTAATATTTTGTTTGAGAGATCAAATTATTGTTACAAACTAAATAATGTTTTAATATATACTTTAATGTATCCCCCGATAGGTAAGGGGTAAGTTTAGGAACTTACAAAACTAAAACCCGAGATCGATTTCTCGCGGTGGGCAGAATGGAGATAGCCTAATGTGTGGCTTTATGCTAGCAAACAGAAACTTTTAATGTAATTGTAATGTCTTACTTATTGATAAGTAAACTGGCAATATTTTCACAAATTAACTGTGTCGAATGTTTCATCTTAAGTTTCCCGCATAATAACGTGTGTATATAACAGGATAATTATTATTTAATTGTAATATTTTCTTATCACTCCTATTTTTAATTTTATTTGTTATTGCTGTACTTCACTTATTCAGATAGAGAGAGAGAAATAGTTTTCCATTACCATCTTCTGTTTTCATCAAAATAATTAACTTTTGTCATGGGTAAGAATTTATGTATTTTTTATTGCATTATTTATTATTATCGAAAAAGCGGCAACTATTATGTTTTAATGCTGATAAGATATAGGAAGATAAAGTTTGGTTTTGAAAGTTTAGGCTAAACGTAGCATTATCTCAAGTTTTGTAGCTGTTGAAATGTTTTATGATATTGTACACATCGTAAGGATTGAAATTTATCTAATACTTGCATAAATGATTTAGGTTTTTGTAACTTAATAAATAAAACTATACGGCCAGAAATTATTAATAATAATAAACTCGTCTAATTACCTCGGAAGGATCTAAAACAAAGTACTAAGTAGTAGTGTCAAACTCAAAGGTGCTAAATTATGTTTACAATATGAATCTATAAAACATGTTTATTTGCTGCTGCCATATTATACTTTATATGTGTAAGGACACTGTTTTATTGTTTGGGTCCGTTGTGGTGATTAAATCTTAGAGGACCCTTGTTAATTAAGAGAGACCCCAGTAAATTTTTATTCAGTCTTCAAAAGTATTGCCTATTTAGTTTTAAGCAAACTGTTAAACTCGGAGTCAAGAGGTAAAGGAAATTGTCAGTATAATTAAAACTTACAACAGAGCTTTGACTGTATCTGTTAGACTATTCTATTGCATAGTTAGTATATTTAATATTTTGACTAATAAGTATTAGATTTATTCTGTGTAAAGTGGATGTTTTTGTACATCTCGGTCTTATTCAGTTTAGTAATTGTCTTTATGAGTCTAAGTGTTCAAATCCTTTTTAGATTGTGTAGAAGGAAATCCTATTGCAACAAAGTATTGTTATTAAGAAATTATGATGCACCTAGTTCATGGGCTAGAAAGTTAACCCTTTTGATGGTTTCATTGACTTTGGATGATAACGTATTTGACACCCTCTTAGTCTTATGGTATTGGTATGAAATGATTATGTTTCATAGTAGTATTGATTGTTTTAATAAATTATCTTTAACTGCTTAGCCAAATAAACTTCTTACATAGACAAGATCTAAAAATTTACCCACTAATAAACATAGCTAACCTAACGTATCATTCTTACTCAAGGACGTTACTGATAATGATTAGAATGTATTGTTTCATCATTTGGATACTTTCTTCATTAACAGTATTTTTGGCTACAAATTATAAGGTTAGTCCTAAATGCATATACTAAGCTACCAATCTAAAATGACCATAATAAAAAAAAATTAAACATTTTACATAGTACTGCTAATGAAACTATTATTAATTAAAGAATGAAACATAACTTATTTACATACTAAGAAAAATTTAGTTGATTGTTTCATGCACTATCACTGATTCTGTCTTGAACAAATATGAATTGAATTATAAATTACTTCTGCTACAGTTACTGGAAGTATCACACTATTTCATTCAGACATCTTACATACACAATGTTTGATGCAAGACTATGCCATACATTTTCCAATTCCATTACAGCCAAACACTGGAAGGTAAATTTTAAGCATTAGATCATGATGTACATAAGTAGGTATATGTACAAATGGTATTTCAGATACTATTGTCTAATGATTTTAAATACAAAGTAAACAAATCACTGTATCATGTAAGAAATTTTTTACTACCCTTTTTGTCTGATATAATGAAATAAGAAATCTTTGTTTTTAAATTTTTCTTTGACAAAATCTGTTGCTTTAGCAATAGTTTATACAACTACTTCTCCCATAAATTATATTAAAAACATAGGCCATGTAAATCACTTCATGCTAAAATGCTAACAAATCATTGATACCATTCTTAAACTATTAAAGTGTTCACCTCCACTACTGCTAACAGCACCGTAATTCATAAGCTGTTCATCCTGTTCCAAAATTAAACCCGTCTTGGCTATAGTGTAGCCAGTGTTTACAAATCTTAAACATGTATTCAGTGTCCTTTGTTCCCTGTATAATCTCGTAAACTTCAATAAGGTCACCTATTACCCTTATTTTCTCTTGAGAAAACAAGTTCACAGATGTAACCAGTCACCATGATATAACTTTCCCATCCCATAATCACTTTCTTGGACCTCAGCTGAACTCTCTCAGATAAGGAGACCAAAACTGCATTCCAAATGAAACCTAATTAGTGATTTTTATAGAAATAATTAGCTCATTTTTACTTGTTATTAATATGTTTATAAATACACCCTTAAATTGTATTAGCTTTGCTACTACTACTACTAGCAACAGAGCTCTGCTTCAATGGCTTGAGTGACTGATCTACAACAATGCAAAGATTCTTTTTATCAGTCATGCTGATGCATTTACTGTAATTACAGGCCAGTTGTTAACTTTAAAAAAGTAATAAATTGATCCAAGTTGTTCTGTAATACCTTATCATTATCAATAAAGTTAGTCATCAACTGATTTACTAATTATAAATAACATTAATGTAAATAAGAAAAAGTGAATTGCCCAAGAACTAATAATGCTAGTAATAAAGGTCTAGTTTGACTAAACTTCATAAGTAAGGATTGTTTTCTTTCTCTCACACAGCTATCATATCATTCAATTAACTACTATTTCTACACTCCTACTGATGAAACTTCTTAGCTAGCCTTTGTGGCATCTTATCAAAAGATATCTGAAAATACGATACACCAAATTTCTGATAACAAATAACATCCTTAGAATAAGTTATCAGACTACAGACTTCTCCATAAGATTTCATAACCCTTTGGTGTCAAATTCTGAGGGTGAAGTGTTGAAATCTTTAAAATGTGTACGTGATCATTGTGTAAGAATTACAAGGCCAAGTAGGCATTCTTTAGTTTAACTGTCAGGCTGATTGTTAACTGCTTGTTCATCTGACCACCTTTCAAACAATATGCTTGATAATCAAAATCATGTAAGTAAAGACTTGCATGAGTCAAACTAATTTGTTATGTATATCTTATATTACATTAATACTTACCTTAGAACATAAATGTGTTTGATGCTGACAAATACTTTAAAGTCAGTAAGAGTGTTTTACTTTTTTCAACCAAACTTCTCATACATGAATATAGCTTTATGATGCAGTTTTTGTGCATGAACTCAAAAATCTGTGCTTGAAATACTCAGGGTTCTAGGTTATTGAGAACTCGGAGACTAGTAAGAATGTTACAAGAATTAAACCCTTTCAGACTTTATTGAACCCATGTTGGTAGTCCTTTTTATGATATTTCACTAATAGATTAGGCTTGCATATCTGATCTTTGACCTCTTTTAAAACTGTGGAGTAAACCTTGTCTGGCCCTGGTGCTTTATCACTTTTTAATGTTACAATCTTTTTTTTTGCCACCAATGAATTAACATGTTTATGATTAAATTCTAGTATTTCTTATAGAATGCTCAGAGTCAGGAATATTTCTGATATCTTCACTTATAAAAACAGGATGGAATAAAATATTTAAAAGCTCGGCTTTTCAGTCTTCAATAAATCCTTGCCACCAGCATCTTTTTAAGTCCCAATCTTCATTTAAACAATATGCTTATCTTAACATACCTCAAAAATTATTTGGTTTGCACCAATCAGAGATGACTGACTCAGTTACATTAATTTTAGGTATGGCAACTGGAAACTGTCTGATTGTGTATATGGGTTATTTTGTTTTAGGATTTTTGCACAAGAAAAGGGACAAATAAAGCCCCTAAAACAGGGCACTTTTTTTAGAAATTTGGCTAGCATCACCCAGAGATGGCAGGCTAGATTATCGTAATTTTTGGCATGCTAACTGGAAATTGGCAAGTATTCTACACATAACACTGTAAAGAGCCTGGAAAGAAAAACATAGCTTACACAATGTTCTGCAATTTTCCCTGTATATAATACCATTTCTACCCTCCAGTATTCCACACATAACACTGTAAAGAGCCTGGAAAGAAAAAAATAACAGTTTATTCAATTGTTGAATGACTCTATAAATACCAAAAAATGGAATTCGTAGGAAGTCATTACTTTGATACCTTTGCTGTCAACTGTATTTCTAGTTATGTGATTCAGACTAAATCATTACACTAATGAAGAATTAGTCAACCTATAAATGTTTATAGCTGTTATATGTATACAAGGTAATATGTGGAAATTCTGATAATTTTAGTTTAAAAAAGTAATTTACAGCAACATTGAAAAGATGAGATATTAATCCAGTTTTGTGTTGTGATATTAAAAAGATGAGTTATTAATCCAGTTTTGTGTTGTGATATTAAAAAGATGAATTATTAATCCAGTTTTGTGTTGTGATATTAAAAAGATGAGTTATTAACCCAGTTTTGTGTTGTGATATTAAAAAAGATGAGTTATTAACCCAGTTTTGTGTTGTGATATTAAAAAGAATGAGTTATTAACCAAGTTTTGTGTACATTATCTGTTTATGAATAATATGCATAGTTATTAATGTTTCAGGAGAACCCTATGGTTTAGGGAGTGAGATGTACAGTCACAAGAAAAGTAAAAAGAGGGTGTAAAACATCGAAGAAAACATGGACAGAAGTAGTGGCTTGAAAAGGCCTCGTTTGGATTCTGTTCAAGGGTATGGAGCTTCAAACTTTGAAGAAACTAATCAGTTTTCCTGTAATGAAGAATTGTGGGGTGATGAAGAAATGACAGCTGAGGAATTTGATTTGTTAGAGAGTCAAGTTATGGAGCTTGAAACACAGAAGACAGACAGTAGGCCACTGCCTCATAAGATATCAGATCAGACACCTAGTGTTACAGTTACCAAACTTATGTCTAGCTCTCCACCTGGATTCTGTACATTACAGAATTTAGAAATTGGTACTAGTACATCTAATAACTTAAATCAAAGTAATGAGTTGGTGGTTGTTCTTCAGACAAAATTAAAAGAACACCAACAAGAAATTAGTGAATTGAAAAATCACCAGTATGTTCAAGAAGGACAGCTTAGCATGCTTAGAACTTCTCTAGAACAAAGGTCCAAAGAACTTGATCAAGAGAGGTTGGAACGTGAATGCTTGCTAGATATCAAACTTCAAGAACAAAAACAAGAGGAATTGAAATTAAAGCAACAAATTGAGAAGCTCCAAACTGAACTTCATTTCAAAGATCAGGAAATCCGAGAAGCTCTGGAGAAAATTCAGGCATTGGACCAAAGATGTAAGCATAAATTAAACATTCCAGAGGAAAAATTGCCTTTGGGGAGCAGCAAGTCATCACAGAAGCTGAATTGTTCTTCACAACAAGGGAAGGCTTGTGAGAATGGGTTTTTAGCAAGATTTTCTTCTATGACAGAACAGAAATCTGCAGTGGGAATTCAAACAGAAGACGAATTTGTTTTAAGAGATTTTGAAAAGTTTAGTGTAAACAAGCAGAACCTCTCTCTTGTTGACAGGTTATTAGCAAGTGGTGTGCCTTCCTGGTTCATTGAGAGTTTGATAAATCACAAAGCATCTTCTTTAAGTTCCTCAGATATAGAAAAAATACACTTTAATAAAGCTCTACTTAAACCAATATCTATGCTACCAAGGGCAACAGAAGATCCTGGAAGTAGACTTTTAATAGCATCCTTATTTCCCTCTGTAGGATACGAGAGCATGTCTAGTTACTTGAAACATATGGTTAGCTATAGTAAGCAAGAGACCAGCAAGTTCAACTGTATAAGTGTCCATGTTGATATTTTAGAAGTTGTGGTAAAGTACCTTCAGGAGTTCCTGGAGTCCCTCAACACTTCTTCTTTTCCCATTGTGTCCGATTTGGGAAGAATTCCCAAAACACAGCCAACATCTGCTTCAGCAACTCAAGATTCTAACTCTCTTCATGAATACAAGGAAGTGACAGCTGTCTTTGGCCTCCAAACTGTGGTCACAATTTTATCATCACTATCTCCACATATTGGTAGTTTTTTCTCTTCTGCATTAGAGGATATTGATGAGAATGGTCATCTCACCCAGCTGGCTTCGTCAGCTAATCTTTTCACTCAGAAAGACAACTTTTGTGTTTCATCTGGAACAAAGCTTCAGGACAAAACTGAAACAGCTATACACAGATTCATCTTGCTTCTTTTGCGTGCTGCTAATCCTCAGTTCCTAAATGGTGAATTAGTTAATCAGACTGTTTTGGAGTGGTCACTTATGGTACTGCTCAGCATTGTGCATTCTGTCATGCAAAATGGTGGGTCAGTGAAAAAATTACTCTGTCAGCTTGATGTGGCTACTTTAGTAAGTGGGAGTTATGGTATAGAAATGGCTTGGATTACTTTGAATATACTTGTTTGTGCACTCCCTGAAAGGACTGTAGCAGAAACTGTACTTAGACACTGCTCAAAACCAGTGGAACAGTCTTGTGTCTTTAAAAATGTTAGTGAACTTTGTAATCAGTTGGTAGGAAGTAATGTAGGAATTAGGACAGATGTTGTGAGCCTAATTATAGACTTTATATCAAAAACTATGTCAACGTTAGGATTTGATTTTGTTCTCTCTACAGACTGCTGTGCTGCAGGAGTAATGGCTTCCATAATGAGGGTTTTACACCAAGAACTTGAGAACTTTCAGGTATTAAACACTGAGAAGAGCAAAACATGCTTAAAAAAAGGAATATCTTTGCTAGCCTTAGTATCTAGATACTGTTCGAGTAGTTTCTCTCAGCTGTGTAGCACAGCACGGGGCGAGTGGGCTAACTTTCTGCATGACCTCATGATCATGTGTGCAAGTGACACATCCTTTAAGCAGAATGTGAGAGATGATGTTCAAGAGCTTTGGAATAATTTTGCCACAGAAGATGTTGGTGAAATCATTCCTGCAGGATGCTCTAGCAGTTCAGGTGAAACATCAAGTACAGGGTCACAGAAACTCCTGCCAAAAGTATCAGATGTAGAAAAGTCGTGTCAGTCGTGGTCATGAAGTTTAATTTTAGAATGAGGATACCCATATTATCTTGGTGTGGTTCTCATCATGCTAGAAATTTTAATTTGAAAGAGCATTAAGTGAATTAAAAGCACAAAGGAATGGTGTTTGTTTTTATATAACTATTTGTTTTACAAGCTGTCTAGGTAAATACATAAAACTGTTGTCTATGCTCATTGTCAGTTTTCTTTGGTTATGAATTTTTCACACAAGGAAATAACTGGGTAATTTATCTGTGTGAATAAAGTTCATTCGATCATCATCATCACACGCGTAAACTTTCTTGATTACTTCTTCATTTCATGTGTGACACAGCTGTTGTGTCACAAGACTGCCAGTATTTCCAGATAGGAGAACATTACTTCTTGGGTTCATGAGTTACCCAGCGTTTAGATGTAGAAACAATAATATCATGGTAAGAACCTATAAGCAAGAAATATTATTCCTTTAAAGATAGTTTGATGTTAGATTATTTAAACAGAATAGAACAGTTATTTGTGCATGCAAGTAGGGTTTCCCCATATGTACAGATAGTCAATAATAAAAGTCATTCATAAACTCTTAAATAGCAAAAAGTAATTCTTTTAATGGTGTCAGTAAAATATACAGTGTCATTAAGAAATTACCACTGTCTGTACGTCAGTAACAAAAACACTTGTTTGGTTAGAAACCCTGTCATTCTAACTGACTTCCAAATAGATAGGACGGTTTAGTTTGTTATAAATACTTTATATTAAAACTTCAATTTGGCCATTGAAATATCTAGTCCACAAATTGCGAGTCCATCTGTTTTTATTATCTCAGAAACAGACCTTACCTGAGTCAGTTATTTGTATATTTTAATCTTGGTCTCTCAGTCTGTTGTTTTACATAGTGATGATTATCTGTTCTTGATGTTTATTGAATGCTTTAATCAAACCTTTTATGGAAAAAAATGCAATATTTTAAATCTGAGTGATTATCTTGATTAATTGGAATTACGGTTCAGTTGATTGATGTAATGAAACTAATCAGCTAATTGATATTAATGTTTCCAGTTTTTACTATTTTTAAATATTCTAACTATCTAGAAATCAAAATATTTCCGTTTTGATTTCTCATTATTATTTTCGATAAATTCAAGGTTGTTTAGATTAATTGATTAGTGTCAAAACATAGAAACATCATCAAATAATCGAAATTAATATTTGATATTATTACCATTATTCTAACTATACCAGTCATGGGGGATAACATTCGATTAATTAGGGAAATGTACTCGATTAATGAGCTTGACGATTAATAAATTCAACAAATCGCCCAGTTCCTTTGTCTACCATCAAGTTGCAGTATCCTTATCCTGTGGTAAGTCAGAAGTTTGTATTAACTACCAACTGTGGCCTTAATTAGTAGAATTGTAGGAAGAGTGACATATGAGCGTATTGTACATGTATGTACGCAGGACTGGAAAATCTGAAATTTTGTTTCGAAAATCAAGAAAAAAACACTTTAGACAGAATGTGTCTGTCCTTTAGCCTTAGCTAAATTATGACCAAATAAAATAAGTACGTTCTTTTACACATTAGGTCGAACTAAACTGTTATGACCAAATACAATACTACGTTCTTTTACACATTAGGTCGAACTAAACTGTTATGACCAAATAAAGTACTACGTTCTTTTACACATTAGGTCGAACTAAACTGTTATAACCAAACAAAGTACTACGTTCTTTTATACATTAGGTCGAACTAAACTGTTATGACTAAAAGTAGAATGTAAACTAATTAAAGTGAACAAAAAATAATAGGGAATTATGTTGCACAGGTTATTTGATCATAAATTTTATAACATATGAGTCAACCAATCCAAGTAAGAGTGTTTTGGGGTCAAAATGCTTGTCATTTTAAATATGTCATTACGAGAGACTTGTGGTTGTAAAAGTTTGGAAAATACGCAAGCGTAGTAAGCATTAATACCTAAAAGATTCAGCTGTTTACAAGTATTAAAGCCTCACAGTAGTATGTCTGCGGACTTGTACTGCTAGAAACCTGGTTTCGATACCTTGGTGAGCAGAGCACAGATAGCCCTTTGTGTAGCTTTGTGCTTAATAACAAACAAAAATTATTAAAAATTAGCTACTGTAACCTGTGGTACAATCTGGTGGAAACGTTTTGTTTATTTATTGGATTTATATTATAAAAATGCACCAGTATATGAAATATTATATATATATATATGTACAGCCTAAACTTGTCAAGCTTGGTGGAGTAGAGACATTTTATGAATGTATATCCAGAAGTTGTCAAAGTTAATGGAATATATGAAGTTGTTTTTCTAATGTATAGCCTGAACTTGTCAAGTTTATAGCAATAAATAACTAAAGTCGGTCTTTTTCTCCGTTTCAGATTTTTAACAGTTCAAAATTGAAGTTTTCTCTAAAGATCTGTTAGTTTCTGATGTTGGAAATAAAAATGCAATTATTGAAACATTTTAACTTTGTTTTAATGTTTGTTTGGACTAGAAGTTATTTACTGTTTTTCGAAACCAAGCCGATACTCTATAACTTTATGCCATTAACACAAGTGATACTATATCTATGGTGTATTTTTATAACTATACTAATATGTAGCTCTTGACGTAACACAAGTGATACTATATCTATGGTGTGTTTTTATATAACTATACTAATATGTAGCTCCTGACGTAACACAAGTGATACTATATCTATGGTGTGTTTTTATATAACTATTCTAATATGTAGCTCTTGACGTAACACAAGTGATACTACATCTATGGTGTGTTTTTATATAACTATACTAATATGTAACTCTTGACGTAACACAAGTGATACTATATCTATGGTGTGTTTTTATATAACTATACTAATATGTAGCTCTTGACTAACACAAGTGATACTATATCTATGGTGTGTTTTTATATAACTATACTAATATGTAGCTCTTGATCTAACACAAGTGATACTACATATATGGTGTGTTTTTATATAACTATACTAATATGCAGCTCTAATGCTACTAATTTATTCAGCAGGCTGAGTGTCTTAGACACTTTCTGAAAAGACTAACTAAATTACATCCGACGTTTCGATTTCACAACTTTGCCAAGGGTTACAACTACTGACGTGGCTCGGCTATAACCGAAAAGAAGACTCGGTTCGATCGTTTTTGGCGGTAATTTCGGTATAAAATCTTTCGAGGTAAACCTTGGAAGAAACGTCAGTTTCTGTTCTACCTGCCCGTGATGGGGTTAGGGCTGTAGATGTGTTTCAATATCACACATGATTGCTAATATTATTATTACATTAGCTTTAGTATTAAACCATAAACATAGGTACGTGGGGGTTTTGTGGGACGCTATAATGTATATCTAGTGTACAATATACGAGAGAACTGATTTCACCTACATCGTGTATGAAGAACGAGAGAACTGATTCCGTCTACATCGTATATGTAATGTATGAACAACAAGAGAACTGATTCCATCTACATCGTACATGTAGTGTATGAACAACGAGAGAACTGATTCCATCTACATCGTATATGTAATGTATGAACAACGAGAGAACTGATTCCATCTACATCGTACATGTAGTGTATGAACAACGAGATAACTGATTTCATCTACATCGTATATGTAGTGTATGAGCAACGAGAGAACTGATTCTATCTATATCGTGTATGAACAACGAGAGAACTGATTTCATCTACATCGTGTATGTAGTGTAAGAACAACGAGAGAACTGATTCAATTTACATCGCATATGTAGTGTAAGAACAACGAGAGAACTGATTTCATCTACATCATGTATGTAGTGTATGAACAACAAGAGAACTGATTCCATCTACATCGTGCATGAACAACGAGAGAACTGATTTCATCTACATCGTGTATGAACAACGAGAGAACTGATTTCATCTACATCATATATGTAGTGTATGAACAACGAGAGAACTGATTCCGTCTACATCGTATATGTAGTGTATGGACAACGAGAGAACTGATTCCGTCTACATCGTACATGTAGTGTATGAACAACGAGAGAACTGATTTCATCTACATCGTATATGTAGTGTATGGACAACGAGAGAACTGATTCCGTCTACATCGTATATGTAATGTATTAACAACGAGAGAACTGATTCCATCTACATCGTACATGTAGTGTATGAACAACGAGAGAACAGAGTCCATCTACATCGTATATGTAGTGTATGAAGAACGAGAGAACTGATTTCATCTACATCGTATATGTAATGTATGAACAACGAGAGAACTGATTCCATCTACATCGTATATGTAAT